GAAAAAAAAAAAAAAAACAAGAACAATTCTAATTTTTCACAGTTTCTAATTTATTGTATTGATGTGCTTGATTGCACAAGTGTGAAAGAGGTCCTTCCACCTCCACTCGATTCCTCTTCAGACCCACCTGCAATTTTTGATGGAATTCCCAAGTACCATATATTATTTTTGAAGTATTGATATGTAGCATAGAGTTTTGTTATGCAGGAAAATGTTTCTCAACCTCTATAGAATTTTAGTGGTTTTTTTTAGCAGCTTTGAGGCTGTTTAGTTTTGAAGCTAGGGCAAAATAGGAACAAAAAGGAATGAATGAAGCCTAGATTTGGTCTAAAGAAATAGAATCCTGAGCCCTTTTAGGTTTCTTTTTGTGTTCCATTGAAAGGGGTAGCTCAAATTCTGCTCAACCCGTATACGATGAAACGTGATTTTGTTCGGTTCCAGTGCTCCAGATTGAACTTTAAAAAACAAAAAAAAAAAATGCGTAAATTACTCGTTTCTGATTCAGCTCCTTCATTTTAGGCTGTACATATCTTACTCGTGCCCGTATGCTCAGCGAGTCTGGATTACCCGAAACTGCAAGGTTGTTTTTCTTGGATACTTTTCTCGTTGCTTAACCGAGAATTTGCCTTAAACTTCTTATTGAATGTAGCTTTATGCGTGCATTGAGAGGGGCTTTGTTTTCTTGACAGGGACTGCAAGACACTATAAGATTGGTGCCCATAGATCTCAAGAACAGGCCTACTTGGTATAAGGAAAAAGTGTATCCTGAAAACAAGGTACCAATTATGCGAAAAGCATTTTTGGTAGTAACTGAAATTTAATCTATTTTAACAAGTGACTGCTCAAGAAACTGTTGCCTTCAAATTTCAAGATGGACTAAAAGCATATTAACTCGGTGTTTTTGGGTTGTTCTCGTTTGCATCATGTTTGTTTACTCTTCTTTAGGTTCCAGCACTTGAGCATAATAACGAAGTCAAAGGGGAAAGCCTCGACTTGATTCAATATATCGATAGTAACTTTGACGGGCCTCCGCTTTTTCCCAATGTGAGATTTTTGTTGCGTTTCACTGCACTTGTATCATAAGTTTAGTCTAATGTTTAGAGTGGAAAAAAAAAAATAAAAATTCCAGTTGTCATCTCAAAATTACGATAACGCAGTCAGGCATTACAAGCACCTGTCAAGGGTGTAATTAGTACAGCGGCACATATATGAAGAGGCTATTTGTAATTGAGAACACCACTGCTGTTATTTTCTTTCTTTTACTCTTCTCTTTTTTTTTGTTTTTAATTAAAGTTTTCATTTTATGACTGTTTATTTTGGGAGCTGAAAAGGTGTTAAACTATTACAGGATCCAGACAAAATAGCATTTGCTGAGGAGTTATTCTCTTTTTCGGGCTCCTTCTACAAACGTGTAATTACTTCTTTGAAGGATAACAAAATAGATGGAGCTGGTGAGTTTTTATTCTGTAATTGTTGGACAAGTTCAAGTCTTTAATGGTGGTGGAAAATCTAAATGAAGTGGTTGTTTGCATAGGTGCAGCTTTTGATGAAATTGAGGCTGCTCTTTCCAAATTCGATGATGGGCCTTTCTTTCTTGGCAAGTTCAGTCTGGTTAGTTATTATATTATCATTCCCTTATTTTGCACAAAAGTCATTGTACTAGAAATAAGTTATTATTATTATTATCTTTTTTCGAGAACTCTAATGAAAACTTAGAGCTATGAATTCTCAAAGTCTGTTGGACAGTCTATGCTACAAAAACTAACGGTGTCTATTTTACTTAAGGTGGACATAGGCTATGTGCCTTTCATCGAGAGGTTTCAAGCATTCTTCTCAGAAGTGAAAAATTATGATATCACGGGGGGCAGGCCGAAATTCGCAGTATGGGTTGAGGTACAGCAGAAACACTCTCTATGTGTGTGTGTGTGTGTAGTCACCTTTAAGTGTTAGATCATAATCATTTTTCACTTGAAAACTACAAGTTTGGTCTAAAAATCTATAATCATAAATTTGAAGATTTACTGTATTGATTTTTATATTGCACGATCACCGAATTGTACTGATTTTGGAACTGAAAATACCCCATTAATGGAAGTTTGATTCGAGTTTATTGTGCATTAATTCATCTTGATTGTGGTGCTGTCTCTACAAGGAGGCTATCGGTAATCAATTTCCTGTTGTGTTCAATTTATAACATCACTTACTGTTATATGAACATCCAGACATGATGAGGCCATTGGCAATTTACATGAGTGAACTTTCGGGATAACTAATTTGGTATGGCAGTTTCATCGGTTTAACGAGATGAAAATCAAGTTGACGTAATGTAATTAACGGGCTGAAGATCATGATGTAATTAGTTTAAGCTTAATTAGTGGCCTTATTAGTTTGTAATTAAGCTGCATGCGTACAAGAGTTCACCCCCAGACAGATTTGAGCCTACGATTTTTCAGAGATTCACATGAACTGCTGGCTTTACCTAAACACGTGACATTTGAATAGGAGATGAACAAGAATGAAGCATACAAACAGACTAAACGAGACCCAAAGGAGCATGTAGAGAGCTACACACGGCGTTTCTTGGTAATTATCATATATATATTTTATTTGTTAGTGCATAAATCACATTGATTGCTAAATATCTCTTTTTACCCTCTTCGTGCAGTCTCCCCGGTGAATCGAGTTTTTGCTGCAAATCACCTGATTGCTGAATTGTGCCAAATGAAAACTACCTTTGATGGGAAGGTTACAGTACAACAGATGTGCAGAGTTGTTTTTCTCCTTTTCTGACTATACAATACATACGTGTCTGTTGAATGATGTACGTGCATTGTAAACTAGTTGCATGAAATTTAAAGTTCACGGGCACTGAGCGAGGAAGTTTTTTTTTCGGAAGACTCTGGTCGCGTTTGAATGGGCCGATATGGATCTTGTTAATTAGAAGCACGCAAATTCATCGTGTGTTAGAATTTGAAATTCCGGAGTTCAAATTCAGACTACTTGATCATTGATGAATGTAATTCAATCCTGGCTCTATAAGAAGGTAAACACTTGATTCGACTCAACTCTTTGCAGCATTATGGATGCCATGTCACCAATGAATTGATTACTTGACTCACTCTTAGGTTAGCAAACAATTTCCACCGATGATTAGCAATAGCAAAAATGATTATCTACGCAATGAGATGATGCCAAGTACATCAAAATATGTCATTTTCATATACTGCCAAATACACAAAAATCAACATGACCAAAAAGCATTTAATGATAAATCATCTGATGAGGGTGGGGAACTTCAACATATATTAATTAAATAAACATTCATCGTTGTATTAAGGATTGTTTAGAAGAATATGTTCAACAAAATATGATATTTTTACTCC